TCAGTGATTTGTTTGGGTTTTTTTATTTCTAGAAGCACTCAAAATTACAATAAAACTTCACATTTGTACAGCATTGTGCGTTTTCTATCTTCAAACGAACGATCTTCATGAGAGTGATTATATATGTACATTAAGCCTTTTTGCTCAGGACCTGATCTGGTCAAACACCAAATGGATAGACTCTAGACCTGCCTGTGAGCACATCTGGATTAAGAGTTTTGGAGCCTTTTAGAAGTCATTAAGGATGCTGGTAATTACTGATAGGGTGAAGCAGCAAGGAGGTAGATTTCACTCAGTGTTAGAATAGTGAGAAGGCACAAAGAAAGATAGATGATCTTTCCTTCCCCAGTAACAGGATATTCTCATAATAATCAAATCATTAGGCATCTCCCTCTCTCCATGCTGCATGCCCAAGAAAGTGATTCTCTCAGTACAAACCAGATCCAAACTCTCTGCAAGCCCTGAGGAGCAAGTACAAACCCCCCGGGATTCCCCTCTCCTGCACTTGCTCATATGTTGTTGGTGGAGCACTGAATCAGCATCAAAGAGAAATTAAAAGCAGCTGCGAGACACTCATACTGCACATCCCACAATGGGACACAAGTAGCTCACTGTCTGAACATGAGGGCTGTTCAGACACTGAAACAAATACATGAAAGTCAAAATGTAGGGTGTGAAGCATGTTTCAGTCTCCAAGAACCAAAAGTGTATATATAAAACAGGAAAACTAAGGAAAATTACAACTCCTGATGACTTTTAAATACTTATTAGACAGTTCTGAAACAAGGCTCAAGCACTGTAATTCTGATGAACATGAACTACATTTGTGTGCTTTTACCCTTCAATAGGGTCTTGAGAAGCTAGGAGATGGGCTGTGATTACATTTGCCCATTACCTTTGAGACTAAACAGCTGAAAAGGTAACTTTGCACAGGTACACTAGAGCAATCATATGTGATAGCACTGCATAAACAGCTGTTAAGACTATCCACAGCCATGCGGACTTCATCCTTTCCTAAGACTGAGGCATTTGGCTTCACACTGCATTTTTAAATAAGGACTTTCAAATGCAGTTGTAGCTGAGAAAAATCTATGCTGAGTTTGTCAGATACTTTTGGCTTCCATTAGCACTTAAAGGAATCTAAAATTGCAGCAATCTTACCAATGTTTTCATAGTAGAGAGTTTGGGTAATAACTCTTCAGAGGGATGCACCCTTGCTCCCTTAATAAAAACAAGATGTGGGTGCCAGCAACAGTCAAACGGACAGGCTGGTGGACAAAGGTCCTGTGGATGGCTGTTACTTTCAGGACCAGGAAATAAAAATCCTTTGGGAAAACCAGGAAATCATGTAGACTGACATTTTTATTTTAGAATTATTTAATCCTAAACATGTTGCTCTAAATAAAAATCTGTTTTGAAGAATGCTGTTAGCAAGTTATGAGATCACTCAATGAATACTAGCCAAAGACCCACTTTGACAGCTAATGCGTTATGGCTCTGCAGTCAAAGAGCAAGACTGTTCCTCTGAAGAAATGTAATAAGGCACAGGGCATTCAATGGCAATAAACTGATTACAGAAGCATGATCCACAAGAACATAAAGCTGCTTCCCATTTACTGTTGGAAGGAAGGCTACTGGACCCTTCTGCACCACCTAGCTCAACTCAGCAGGTTACAACTTCCCTCCTTCAAATCTCCTCATGGAAAGTAATCCATTGCATTTCATGGTTTATTTTTCATTTTATTTTAAGCCAGGCCTTTTACTCCAGTTCTAGGAAAGACATTAAATAAGGAAGCACTGTAGTTGGTAGGGCAGAGGCTTTAAGTTCTTCATGAAGTCTGGACATATGACCTCATCCTTAAAAAGCTGTGACTCACATTCAGCTGTTCAGAACCATTCCGGCAATTACAGTTTATTACCTACGCATTTTCATTCATTGCTGAAAGTACTATTCTTGACATATATTCCAATATCCTTAAGTTACAGGCAGCTTGGGGAAGACTGCAGCTAGGGTAGCTTAAAAACCATGCTGCGTATTTTCATAGATTTATGAGCACAAATTACCGAGTTTTATTCCCACAGGAATTAAGTTTCTCTCATATATAGTATCATTGTGATAGTAAAATCCTACCATTAAATCCCAAATTGCTTTAGTTCTAGACCTGAAGAACAGACGTTATGAGGCACAAATCAGAAATAACTTGCCTGGGGAAGTCCAAAGTCTCTACCCTTGAAGGCTTCCAGAATTCAGTGAATGAAGCCAAGCTCACCTGACCTAGTGGTGGCGATAACCCCACTTCAAGCTGGAGGCTGGACCAGGTTTAGCCTCACAGAGATCCTCCAGAGAGCTCTCCCAAGCACCATTCCTATTACCCTATAGATTCCAATATGCTTTAATAGTTAAACCAGCCCTATGATTATAAAGACTAACGTTAAATATTGTATTTGAAGAGTATTAACCCTCACAAAAAACCCTGCTCACTGTGACAGACCAAAATGGAAAGCTTACACACCCTCATTCTTACATAATCATACCAAACCAGGGGAGGAATCAAACATGCTATTCAAATGAAGTCATGCAGCACCCCAATATTAATCAAAGGACAAGAAAATTCGGTCACAATTAAATTGCTTTATTGATATCAACTCATCTTTAATCAGCACTTCAGTTTCATTTTAATTCCAGCAATGATTACAACAAAATGAGGACATGACTGTAATTCAGAAATGCTTAATTAAATGATCTTGGGCATGATGCAGCCAACAGCCAGCTAGTCTGGACAAAGAGACCTGAGAAGGCTATAACACACATCAGCCTGTAGGAAACAACAATGCAGCATGTATTGCCATCACTAAGATCCCAATACTCCATCTTAAAAACAGCAAAGCAAGAAGGTAAGCAGTTCACGCAGAAGGAAATAAAAAGACACTCATGCTAAGGAAATTCACAAACCAGCTTGTTAATCCAATAGAACTTAATGACCTGTAACTGTGCCTGAGAACTGGCAAGGCAGGATTTAAGTTAAAAGTTGCAAAGTTCCTTTGACAAACCTTGGACCAAATTTCAGCTGGATTTAGTAACCAACTTATGATCCTGGACACACTTACAACTCAAGAGTCCAACCCTCACCTGTTTCATGTTTTCATCTGTCAAACCTGCCTGCTACTGAAAGCAAAGACACTGGTGTAAGGACAGATCATCTTGGAACCTGGACTACTTACAGTCATGCTCAATTCTTCAAGTAACTGGCTTGTAATACAAAACAAACCCCTTTAACTGTGCCTCTAGTTCCCAGATATGCAGTTACTTTTTCAAAGGACATGGAGCATTTAATACTTTTAACAAATAGCCTGTATCCTATCAGTACGAACACAGAGGCTGAAGTATCAGAAAGTCTAAAAACTGTCAAATTGTTGTCTACACAACATATAGATGCTGTATAGTCATACTTTTTTCCCCCCTCTAAGAAGGGAAAGTCTTAAAAGAATTCTTAAGCAGCAGCTGGAGGGCTGTGTTAAGAAGTATGCAGAAATGCAGAGGGAGTGCACAGTTAAGCCAAGGAATTTGTTTCTTTCCAAAATTAGAAATTGAATATAAAAATTAATAGAATATAAATTCTGATTAGAATTCTAGGGTTCACCATTTAGAGACTGGTTCTGTTAAAAACAACGTTTCTGAAATTATTTTGGGTATTCCAACTTCCTGGGGAATACAGTTGGCCTGACGTCTTTTCAGAAGCTTGCTATAACACCCACGCCTAGGAAAATGTTAGCCAGTAAGCTGCTTCTTCACTCAGTCTGTCCATTGACTCAGCAATCTGTATCTGAACAAAAGATTAGTTCCTTCTCTATGTATTCAAGTGATCCTTTAAAAACTGAGTTAGAAAAAAATTCCTAACATGTTTGGACACACTGAACACCAACCTAGGTAAAATCTGCAACATTAGTGTTTCTGGGAAGCAAAATAACAAGGCTTAAACAGATTAAGACAGAGGAAGTACAACTGGCACGACTTAACACATCTACGTATCTTACGGGACATAGGAACAAACAGGTTTGAGAAGTCAGCTCCTGCACAAGCAATCGTCAGTGCAAACTTCTCAAGAGCTTATGTGGTTTGCACACAACCAGTTTAAGGTTAGCTTTATTTACTGCTTCACAGCACCAGGCATGCAACTTTGTGAAGAAGATTCCCACTGTGGTAGCTAGATTTATACAGATCCTTCCGATGAGTTAGGCTAGTGCAGCATCTTGTGTGCACACTGGTACTGCCTCTGAGTACAACTTAAAAAAGGAGCACGTGCATTTCTTTGCAGTGGTTTAAACATGTTAATTTAAACAAACAAACATTTAGTTGCTTTCCAATTTGTTGATCAATGACTTCTCCACACCTCCAAAACTGTTAGGAGGCACGTCAATGCATTCCAGGACAATCAACCTTTACAGATGCCATTTCCATACAAATGGTCCTCCTCCATTGCTAGCAGTTACTCTTGTCAAAACCAGGCAAGCTTACAAATATGCACCCTTCTTTCCAGTGAAATCAGCTCAGGTTTTAAGCCTCTATCTTGTCCCAAGAAAAAGTGACTGGCCAGATAGAAATGCTTCATAGATCTGATTCAGCCTTTGATTACCAAGTTAATAGAGCTTATTTTAGAACCAGCATTTCCAGGTAGATGTCGTATTTCCCCTATGAACAGTATTACTTTAGCAATACATAGAAAATCACTGACAAGGATCTAAACACCATCCTTCATTCAACACCGCAACTTAAAGACCACATACTTGAGATGTCTCTCTAAAGTTCATCCCCATATTGAATACAGCAAACATTACAGCCAGTTGAAACTGAATGGTTTTGAAAGCAATGATACTATTTGCTTCTCCTAAAGTTCCCCCAAAAATTCGACATTTCTTCAGCTATGTGTTTATCAGCCCTTCTGGGATTTAAGTACAGCATCTCCATGAAGTCAATCCTACTGAAAGAAGTTGAATAAAGTTTAATGTGATGCACTTGCTCCTATGCCAACTCCAGATTCTTTGTTAGGTTCTACTGGGTTTATTTGCCCCTCTTCTTTTAGCTTCACCTGTCTAAAGTCTTCCCTGACTTCTTCTAGCAGACCTGGCTTGAAAATGACATCCAGTGCTGTCATTGCCAAAGCTTTTGCTGTGCGCAAAGCATAGAACTGAGCATTCTGTGACCCTGCAGAAAAGTATTAAGAGAAATTTCAGGTTAGACTACTAGTATTAGTTACAAACCACCAGCATAAGGCATATTCTGTGAGATCTTCAAGTTTCAATTGCAAGAACAGTTTCTTAAAAACCTACTTGCAGGAAGTATGTCTATTTTCTGATGCCTCAGAACAAATTTTCACATGCAAGTACTTAACTTTCTGCTGCTGACACAAACAACTAAGACTGAAATCAGAAGAGTGAGTGTTCACATTTTCCTTTTTAGAAAATGTAGAGTTTTATACTATTATCTCTACTACATTTCCAGAGTATTGTGCTTTAGGAGTAAAAATTACTTCCACCTTTTGGCTCATGTTTAGAAGCTCTTCTGAATATGCTGCTAGGGATAATAATTCTCATTTCTTCTGTCTAGATGGTACACTAAGGTGTGTACACACGAGTGGCCGTCCTTCCCATATACATTTAGCTTTAAACACAAAAATAGAAATTTACATTTTGTCTGCTTTTTTCTCTAACTCTACAGTTAACTAAGTTAATTATCAGGGTCCATATTCAGCTCAGATCCCACCATGCTTGAAGAAGGCAACTCAATTTCGCATGTAGCCACTTTCAGATCTAGTACTTACAGTTTTATACATTTACTACACAGTATATTTGAATACCACAGACGCACATGAAAGATTTAATCCTGTGAACTTCAAATAATTTCCAGATTTGCCGTAGTGAAGAGTTAGGAATCAGTCCCTACAAGGCACAAGGGTTCCAAATACAAACCTCTAGCCCTTTTCACTTCCACTCACCTGCAGCTTCTGTGTACTGCTCAGTATGATTCAGTGCATCAGAGCCAATATAAAAATAAGGATGAAGCCCAGGGACTACAAACGTAACATTTCCAAAGTCTGTGGAACCTAGAAGCAGCATAGAAATTTTCTTAATGAAATGCTGAAAGAGCTCTGAATGCTGTAAGAAAATGCATGATAGGTATTATCTCCAGCCCATATCTAAAACGGAATATCCTTTACCCCAAATACTAAAGTAAAAGCATTTCTAGTGAGTCATTCATACAAAAGTCTCCACCAAGATATTTTCTCTAATTAGCAATCTTCAGATGCTGCTCTCCACTGTGCTTATGATCAATAATCAGTTACTGAACTGCACGGAAGATTTACCAGCATGTCCCTATTCCACTTACTGTTAAGTTTTTATCAAGCATCTCCTGATAGTAAGCTGTTAATTCAGAAACAATGAAAGCTGCAAACCTTGTGAGTTTCAGCAGTTCAGCTATTTTCCTGCTACAGCCCATTTTCACCAGTATTCAAATATTCAGCATTAGACAGGGGACTCTGAAGTAGGAACAATCTACCTTTAAACAGAATCAGATCGAGAACCATTTTTTTCCTGTGCCTTTTGATTATTCTCAGTGATGGAAACCTCAGCAGCGCAAACACTCTTGAAATAACAAGATCAGAACTAAACTCCAGACAAGATGCAGATGCCTTATAGACATAAAATTCTTGATAGCAATCCTGCAGATTTTAATGCTTTCATGCTAAGCATTTTCGGTATTAGCTAGTGATAGTACCTATCTCACAGTACTGCCTTTTCTAATGATTCCATCCAGAAGCAGTAGATTCTTCATAGTAAATCATCCAAGAATTTGCAAGCATTCCCTCTCCCCCTTTTTATTAACCCAAACAGGCAACCCACTCACTATTTGTTAGAATGACATTTAGAAGCCAGAGAAATAAGAGAAATCAACATATCAATTACTGTGAAATTCAGATACCAAAGGAAGCAGTTTCATAGTGGGGGAAAATAGGGATGACCAACTAAGATCTCATTTAACATTTTTTCAGGCTAATCAGAGATGCAAGATTTATTTTTTTTCTTGAGCAATGGCATTATTTAGTGACTGTTCTTTAGATATAAAGTTACTTGTAACACATTAGGTAGCCTCCATATCATGGTACTTTATGGAGAGAAGATATCGCTAATGTCTTAAGATTCAGTAATGAAATGATTGAAGAATACAGATTTTACTTGGAAGCATACAGTTACTAAAACTGAGTCCACAGAGCCTACATAATGTGATCAAATAGGACAAGACTAGCATGCTTTTTGCTCTGCCTACAAATGGAAGCAGCAATGCTTGTCCAAAACCATGATCTCTTCACGTAAGTTCAGTATGCATCTGAAGAAAATCCAACTCTTGGCACAGCAACAAGTTATTTCAATTTTCAGTAGTCTACACTACTGTTCCATTCTTTGGTCAGTCTGGAAAGACAAGCCAGAAGTCTAGAAGTTCTGCCTACTCCAGACTAGGCCAAGAGTTCTAAACTTGCTTTACTAAGTCCTAATACAGAAACTGCTGGAAAGACTGTGTTGGTCTTTTTCCCTGCTTTCACTCAGCAAATGAAGCCTTAGAAATTTCAGTGCACCCCAGCTCTTGGTCATGTAATTCCACTTAAATTTATATCCATATTCAATCTACTATTAGTCCACAAGTTACTTTTGCTGAATGTAAAGGATTTAAACTTGGTATTTTCTAGCAGGATGGAGAGCTTACCAAGCCAAAATCCAGGCAGCTTTTCATAAAAATGTGACAGTCAAACCTTCCCTTCTTTCAGAAAAAAATGTTACACCCTTTGGTGGTATTAACCTAGTGCCATGTTTAAAACATCAGGTGCTCCAATGGTTTCCACGCAAACATCTGGAACTGTACGCTTGCTAGAGGTATACCAACCAGGATTCCTTCTAGAGGCATAAATAACTGCGCAGTTATCAATGCAATATATAGACTTGTGCACTACCTTCAACAGAAAGGTACTGGGGTTCCAGCCTCTCAAAAATATATCCTGAAGCTGACACAGAAGCCTCAAGTCACTGAGCACATAATGGAAGTCAGTATTACCACAAACGTGAATGGAGGGGAAAATGCAGAAGATTCCATGAAGCATTTATACACAGCCCCAAACTTCAAAAGTGATATTTTCAAAATATACTGGCTCCTTAAGATCATCTGTATCAGTCTTGTTCACAGGAAGCCAATGAATCCCATAAATGCTAAAAATAAAGTTATCTCAAGAGTGGACACCTCAACTGAGGCATGCTAAACTAAGCCCTCTGCTTTGAGAGGTTATCAACATCCTGGAGTTGAGCCACCCTACCAGCAGAAGGAGAAACAGGTTATGGCACCCAGTCAAAGCTAACTCAGATTCACATTATCTCACATCATCCTGCCTGTGTGCCAAATGAGCGGAGTGCGCACAAGGCACACATAATGTAGTGTGATTTGATGGACTGAAGGAATTCTTTGTGATGCTTAGCTGCCTAGAGCGATACCTGTGAGCAGACCGATACTAATACCCATGTAGAGGTGGCAGCGAGTATGCTCATCTGTTAACGACTTTTCTGCTGCACAGACATGGAGAAGCAACTGAGCTATCTTCCTTCCCTTTCAACAGAAGAAACTGATATCCTAAAAGAAAACATTGAAAACCATATGAAAACTAAACAGAAATAGAGGTCTTGGAAAAAGATGAGACAAAACACTCAACCCCCCCCCAAAAAGGGTAGCATACAAAATTCCACTCCTATATCTCTAGAGATTGTGCTTTGTTATCACTCCTGAAGCCCCACTGCAAAAATTCAGAGGAGCAGCTGTGGAAAGAAAATTCAGTGAAGCCTACTGCAGTGTGAGATAAAAAAAAGCAGTTGCTCAAGCACATTTTGACATTTGACAAGCAATTTAAGGACAGGACAGGCATAGGAGGAGTTTCAGTTTAACCAACTTAACAGTTAATATTTTGCATATCATGTAAGTTACATATGAAGGTACTACTACAATTAGGTATCCGTACTAAATTCATTAGAAGTCCTCTGAATGCAAGATCACCAGTATTCAGCATCTTCACCCTTAAACCAATGTTTTGAAGGAAGCAACTATGAGACCTCCAGAAAGTTTCATTAAACATTGTAAGTAACATTCCTCAGCCCCTTTCTTAGGCTAAATGAGCAATGTAGTAAATCTTACTCATACCACACAGAAGAAAAAAGTTTACAGAGAACTCTGTCCCCAAACACCAAGATCTCAACTGTCCAAATATAATCTGCATTTAATATAGAGAAAATCAGTACTGCAATCAAACTAATTAGAATAACAACTTTTTAGTGAGAACAATCTTTTCCTTCTAACTAAAGAGAAAAAACTTTGACATGAGTGAAGCAAAACTGTTCATATATACAATTATGACCAGTAGCAAAGATTATAAAATATCATCAGCAGGTTAAGACTTCCAATAGAACTCCTGCAGAAAAATTATGAAAAAATAAGTTATGGGTAATGAGAAACCCGCCTGAGCTTTCAAGAATTCACATTCCTATTACTATAGCTTTGAGAGATCAAGAAAGTGAAATCGTTTGAGACATAGTCAAGACGCAGAAGTGAACACCTACTTCAACAGTACCCTTTGGAAAACTAATCTGTTGAACTCGTGAACTAAAATTAGAGGCACAGAATTACCTGTTAATGGAAAGAGGTTTAAATTAGGGTTACTGAGATGCTTAAACTTCCACTTAAAGTCTCTTCAAAAACTCCCTCTCAAGTATTACTCAGATGCTGGCAAATTTCTTTACATGTAAGCTTGGAAATATTATTAAATAAGGTTGATGAAAACGAAGTCCAAACTCCATTCACTACAAACTAGGAATCTGTATTTCAAAGCAACAGAATGGGCTGCAATTCATTACACATCCTCAATGCTTTCAGTAAGACTGTTCTTAGCTTTCCATCCCTCCACACCTCCCCCCAGCCAAGCTGTTTCTTACCTGAAATATTTTCAGCAATATTGTCAGAAAATTACCACTGTTGGGAAAGCTTCCTAGCTTCTACAACAAATACAGAAACACAGGCCAGAGGCATGATCCTTTTACAGAGCTTCAACTTTCTAATTTGGCTTTTCCCTCTGACCAAGCTATGTTTAACGTAGTTCTATCCCATTCTTTTATACATTTAAGAGTAGGTCAACTTAAGCTTAAGTCGTAACAAAAAACCCAGATGGAGTTACCTGACAAGCCATTCAAGATAGAGTCTTCTGATATAAATTCTATTCCAAGCTTCTTTCCATTCTCCTTGTAAACTTTCTGCAGGCTCTTATTTGGAAGCACATTGTAGTAATCATTTTCACCACCTTTTATTTCCACCTAGATGAAAAACTTAGTATTATTAGAAATTTTTCTCAACTCAAGCCAGTTTAATGTAAACAATTTAAAGCCAGAAGAAGTAAGTATACATCAATACTTTAAGCCCATGTCAAAACAGACAAATGCCAAGTTTCTTACAAAAATTCAACATTCTGCCAAATATTACCCTTGATCAAAACACAGCTGGTCTTCTATCAAGCTTGCACTAGACAGCCAAATTTCAGAAGCATAAATTTCACTGATAATCATCTCTGAAAACAGTATTATTAAACTACTCAGAAATCAATTTAGGCTTTCACCAAATTTAATTTACTATTGTTTAGAACATGTCCAGTAACAACAGCCCTATTCATAAATGACTTCACACTGGCAAGAAGTTCTGAAATCCTTTCCTAGCTAGAGTGGAGGGGCCATACTAGTAAACAGCATGCAATGCCTCAAATAGACCTTAAATCTCACTAACTCACATTCATATACGCCACACCTCTTTGTTCTGATAAGCACAGACATTTTCTTCACAGCTGTATTAATCAAACCTGTAACTACAGAGCAGGTAGAACCATGTATCTTAGCAATACACTGCAAGGTATTGCTGGAACCAGCTACAGGAGACACTTCCATTTACTGAAAGAAAAAAGTAAGACTGCTAACTGAATCATGGAATGGTTGAAGTTGGAAAACACCTCTGGAAATCATCTTGTCCAACTCCCCTCCTCGAGCAGGGCCACCTAGAGCTGGTTGCCCACGACCATATCAAGGCAGCTTTTGAGTATCTCCAAGGATGGAAATAATAAAATGTCTCCAGGCAAACTCTGCTCCAGCGCTCAGTCACCACAGCATTAACATCAGGAAGAACCTTGTTCACCATGAGGTAAGTAGAACGCTTGAGATAGGTTGGGGGATTTCATCCGTGGAGATGCTCAGAAGTCCACATGGCACCAAGCAAGCTGCTCTAACTGGTCCTCCTCCAAACAGCGGCTAAGACTAGATGACCTCAAGAAGTCTCCCCCAGCCTAGATTCTTCTATGATGCTGTGCCATTCTATTTATAAACCAAAGCTTCCTTTCAGCACACACAGCAGCAAAATAACAAATAGTATATTCCGGCGAAACACCATGCAAACAAATGCTGTTAAGCCTCGATTTCCTTTTCTGGCCTACCTTATCTTCACATATTAAACACATGACCATGCATACATTCTTACTTTGCAACCTGTGGCCAGCGCTGCAGATTTGAAGCAGTTCTCAACCTTCTCTATCAGAACAGAAAGATCTTTCATTGAAGGGGCACGCAAGTAGAATTCCAGCTCAGTGTAAGAAGGAATGATGTTAGGTTTCACACCACCATTTTTTATTACACCTACAGAAAGGGAAAAGCACATTATCAGCATTAACTGCAACTGCTTGATCTTCAGCCCTGTCATGAAACTCTTTGCTCAAGAAGTAAATGTATAAACAAAAACCAACTAATCAGCTGAGCATGAAATACAAAGAATGTCAAAAATACAGTATGTGGACAAAGTTTCTTCATCCCATCAGATTAAGTGGAATGTGTAAATGTTTTTCAGCACAGTTTCATGGTATTCTTTGGTTAGACATCTGTTATAAACCTTAAAGCCAAACCAGCATTTGTAATTAATCCCCTGAAATTCAATGCAGAGTCATAAAGCAAGATGGCTGCCAGTGAAAGAAAATTTTGTTATAAAGGCTGTCTTTGATTCCAACTTTTAAAGGTTTCCAACTTATTTTGCCAGTTTGGAGAGAAACTGAGTAAGCTGCACTGCTGAATAACACTGGAGCAATGTGCATGCTGCAGTGCACAGAACGTTCATTAAATTCCTCATACTAATTCTTTAGAAATATTGGAATGTACAATACAGGTCATTTTATTTCAGAGTCAAGTTTGAGCTGAAACTATTGCCTCAGTGAAACATGTACCAAGTACATAGTTTCAATTATGTCAGAGCCTTAATGTCTAAATATTTCAACAATAAACACTGTAGACACATTAGATTTCAATGCATTAACAGCTAGTTGCTTTTAACAGGATGCTTGTTTTCCTGGCCTCCTACCCTCAATTTATATATATGTGGATTAAGATTTGGTTTCTGTAGAACCTGCAAAACTATCTACTTTAAATGGAAATACTGCTCAAAGCTACTGATGCATGTTGCTGAAACTTGAAACGACAGCACTATCAGGAGGCAAATGGCCAACAAATCTTTACTTTTGGTGCAGAAAAGCTATTAAGACTATGAACGCCCTCTCAAGTAAAACTTTTCCACTCTCAAATATAGCAAAAGTGAAGAAAGTGCTGATTTAAACCACTATCAGTACTAGTCCATAACAAAAGGAACAGCATAGGAAAGGAACCAGCAGGCAATCATGCAAATTTGCATGACACATACTGTAACATCTTCTCAAAACAAGTAACTCAATGAGTAAATAACTCACTTGTATATGGAAATGGATAGAGTCTATGAGTATGTTTACACTTAAATTTCAGAGCAGCTGCAATATGGACTGGGCAGCTTAACTAGCTTAAAAGCAGGCTGCCTGCACACTACTAGTAGCACACAGTTTGCCCTTCTAGATTTAACTTTTTTTCACAACCTGTTTAATACAACTTTCTAAACAGAAAAAGACATCTACATTCCTGTATTTCAAGAAGGCAACATTTACTCATGAAGCATCAGACAAACTCAAACCAACAATATTCAGGTGCATAAAACATGGCTTAGAAATTCCTGACTTCAAGTAATGGAAATTATGTCAGTTTCTGTTAGTGGGTATCTTTTAGAAACTATGAGGAAATTATTTAGGGGTTTATGCTTAGATTCAATAGAAGACTCAGGCACCTCCAACCTTAAACCTGCAACACATGGCTTTCAGACACCAGAACTCATAATTAAGTATCTTGTTTCCTACAAAGCAACAGGATATAGAGGCTATGCCCGCTGTCTGAAATTCCTTTGGGTATTGCTGCACATCAGAACTGCAAATAGCTAGGGCTTCCAGACTCCATCCAGATATCCTGGAGAGAAATACACACATGTATTATACAGCACAAGCACCAAGAGGCATAATGATTAGCTCAGAACTTCTGTATGTGTTTTAAGCTCCTAACAAGTATTCCAAATGGACAGTTCTACATTCAGAAGTCCTGCAGAAATGGCAAGCTTCCTTAATTTCAACCTGGAAAAAAGTTGCATTGGGTACAATAAAGGGAAACCTGGGTTTACAGATGAAGGCCAGCTTCCATGTCAACTTCTGAAACTTTCTCGCTGTACAAGAAGAAATGCATGATGCTGAAAGAGTGCAAGTGAAGCTTAATGGTTAACATGTCTAATTGCAAAAGAGACTTTCGTACTCTGAAGTCTAATAGATATTAAATACTAGAACCCAGTGAACATCTAGTTGACTGGGCTACTAACTAGAACTACAGGCTTCTGCCATCACTTGGTTTTGCACTTCAGCAAATAAATTTCAGTCACTCTAAACCACTGCATCCTTCCAATAAATATCATATAATTAATGGAATGTCTACTACAAAAATGATGCAGTAAGTAACACTTTTCCAGAACCATTTAGTCTTACATCTTTGCAAAAACATGTACATTAAGGAATTCAAGGCCATGTTCCAAAATAAACTTAATACTTTTTTTTATTTTCTTTCTGAACTGCATCTTCCAAGTGTAAAGACTTAAAAATTGCCTAGCATCTACCTAGGTACCAGTGTCCTCTTTGGAACCCGACCTATAAGCCTATTTTCAGAAGTTAGTTCTAGACACTGACGTGATTTTAAAGGTGACAGAAAGCTATTTAAAAGAAATTGTGCTATTTTGTAATACTTGAAGTGACTATAATAATTTAGTGCAATAATGCAATACTTTAAATTGTGGGATTTTGTAAGTTAGTATTTCAACAGCCTAAGCTCTTACTTGCTAGATGTTAGATTTAATGAAGATCTCACCATGAACTCTCCAGGTCGGTTTCATTTGCTGTCTTAAAACAGACAGATTGTTGTATGCAAGAACAGCAGCATCTAATGCATTAACTCCTTCCCAAGGATAAGCAGCAGCATGAGAAGCTTTTCCATAGTATTTCACAGTCACACTAGGAAATAAAAGGCATTGCTTATTTGTTTTCCATTCATGAAGAAAACCTCTAAAATAAAAAGTTCCTTTTGTTCACAGAAACATTTAAGTTTTGTGCAGAAGAACACCAAACAATTTGCCTGGCACTACACTGGTGTAAAGCTGAACTATCCCTGAGCACAGGAAAATGCTGAAAGATTTCTAGAAAACCAATGAGATGTAACTACACCAAGAGCAAATCAGGCAAAAGTTACCAGTAAAACACCACTATACAGCCTCTTCCTGAGAAGTACAGGCTTCACATACTAAATTTCTCCAACACTTTTTTTTGTCGTGCCTACCTGTTCTGAGACTTAAAGCTACTAACATTCTTCTCAGAGGATAATAAACCCTTTTCTCTGAATCAAAATTAGAAGTTGCCTTAATTCTTGTCAAACATACATATGTGTACAGTATATAAGGCAGCAAAAGCACAGTAATAACACCACATATCCATGCCTAATTAACGAAAGTCGAGGTCTAAAAGTGTAGTAAAAGTAAAGACTAGTATAAAATACACATCATTGTGCTACAGCAAAGATATTCTTTCCCTGTACACCTCAAAAATGCTGGTGGAAAGAAATCTAATGTAAAGGCTATCCTCCAGCCTCACAGAAGTCAAAATACTGCAGCTAAACATATGCAGTAAGAATTCATGCATTGCTTCATCCGAGGGCCATTTGTATTAGCCCTACAATTTAATATTTCAAATTAGATGAAAACTTTTTACATGAAAGGCAAATATTAAATACTGATAACTACATAAGATATTGCTATTTATCAAATACACAACTACTAGGTTTTTACCAGTAGCAGAGATTTTAACTAGATCTGTTTGTACTCAATACCCAGTCTTTCACATTAAAAAAACCACCAAAAATCCATCTTCAAGCTCAGAGCGTTCCCCACAACTTGCCTCTTGCCAGAGAGGACCAAACTCACTTGCTTGTCTTGCACAAATGCCAACTTAGCCACTTGTCCTGATCTGACCCCTCACACTGTGAACCATGCTGTGCTAATACCAGAACTTAAACACTGGGCAGCAAAGAGGGACACAATGGAGTGCACTGTTGCAGCAGAAAACACCTCCTGCTACTGCATGCAACCCAAATTAAGTAATGCCCTTTTCCATTCCCCCTCATCCTCCAAGACAACCATACATCCTATTCTGTAAAGTATGAGATGTATTTAAAATTTATTATCATTATGAAATCAAGTTAGAAAACTTATCCATTAAAATCCCAGACCACAATTCATCAAATCAACTCACAAAGGCAGCAGGATAGATCCCTGGATACTTTCCAATAAAAAAGGAGGGAAGAAGGCAAAGTCAAGCAGAAAGTCACACTGCAATTTTTCTTCCCCTCACAAGAAACTTGTGCTTCTTATTAAAAAAAAAAAAAAAAGTTATTTCAGCATTTTCAGCATTCCTTTTCTTGTAGCTCTATTGCTACACAAATGTCACATACTCTCAGAAAAACCCAACAGATTTTGGTGAAAACAAAACCACCCTAAGCCAGTCTAAGAGTATCAGCAGAAGAATCTGGATCCTGCTTGACCAACAACAAATAGGCAGATTAACTGAAGGATAAGGAAAAAAGAATCAGTAAATTCTGGCATGTAACCACCTCAATTATCCCACTGTATTAATTTTACTTCAGACACAAGCCAACTTTCAGAGATTGCAGCTACAGTAGTAATTTAGTGATTAAATTCCTTGGAAACAACTGAAGACCAATCACATAAACACAGTGATGGAATATAACAGAGAGAGCTGGGTAAGGAAGACTCAAGTGTTTCTAACCTTGTCTGTTTTACCATAAAAACTTAGCAGTAACAGAAGGACTTTCAAAACTGATTAAAATAAAAGGCGTACAGAGGACTACGTGACTAGATGATCCAGAAATAAAGGAACTATTATCCATGAGATTCCCTCCAGTTGCTTTTTTTCCCCTCCTTTTCCTTAACAGATGAGATAATGTATGTTTAAAAAGAAACACCCAGAAACATCAGAAGAAAGAATGGATTTTTGGGACACATGCAAGATTATCCCAGTGCAGTCAGGCTGAACACTGCACTTCGGAAGAACGGCGCAGGGTGCCCAGAACCTGGCTCCTTGGCTGACTGCAAACACTTAGCTCATCTGAAGGGCGCCTGCAAGGTCCCCAGCCCTAAGTTCAGCCCCTTCCAAAGCAGTCCCCTTACTAAAAGAGGAGAGAAAAGAAAAAAAAAAGCCAATCCTTTCCACCTGAACCTGCTCACTCACTCGTGCTCGGCCACATCGGGCAGGTAAGCTGCGTTTTCTTGCGAGGGGTGTGCCATAAAAACCACATCCAGGCCATCAAACGCTCCAGCGTTTATCAGGTCTATTTTGCCTCCTCCTTGCTCTTCCGCAGGCGTGCCCAGCACCGTGACCTGCAGCACAAACGCAGACGGTCAGGGCCCGCCGGGCACACGGGGAC